CCCCCCCGATGGCTCCCACCTTCCTTCATGTTGGAATGACTTTAGGGGGGGGGATGAGGACCTGGGGTTGGAGCTCCAGGGGGTTTTAACCCTCATTTGTGGGCTCCCTGGAGCTCCAACCCCAGGTCCTCATCCCCCTGGGGATGTCCCCAGTGTCACCAGCCCTCCTCTGTCCCAAAGCACACAGGTATTTTCAACCCCCTGCTTGTAAAATCAAGCAGGGAAACTGAGGCACGTGGTGCCTGGTGTCCTTTCCAGATGGTCTGGCTGGAATGGGTTGGGACAGGGGGGAGGTGACAGCAGGGGTTAAACCCCCCCCCCCACAAAGGGGGTCAGGGGGCTGAGGAAGATGTCCCTTGTCCCCTCTCTCCTGTCCCAGGACTTCTGGGGCTCTTGTGCCTTTGAGGGAAGGAAATGAGGCTTGGAGGGCGTTTCATGGGATCACAAGGATGTGGTGGGTTTGGCTTCTTCAGGAAGTTGCTGGAGTGTGTCCAGAGAAGGGCAATGCAGCTGGTGAAGGGGCTGGAGAACAAGGAGGAGTGTCTGAGGGAGCTGGGGGTGTCCAGCCTGGAGACAAGGAGGCTGAGGGGAGACCTGCTGGCTCTGCAACTGCCCGAGGGGAGGTTGGAGCCAGGGGGGTTGGGCTCTGCTCCCCAGGAACAAGCCCTGGGACAAGAGGAAATGGCCTCAGGGGAGGTTTAGATTGGATCTTGGGAACAATTTCTTCCCTGAAGGAGTGGTCAAGCGTTGGAACAGGCTGCCCAGGCCAGCGCTGGAGGCACCACTCCTGAAGGGATTTAAAAGACGTCTAGATGTGGTTCTGAGGAACATGGTTCAGTGGGCATGGTGGTGTTGGGTTGACAGTTGGACTTGATGGTTTTAGAGGCTGTCCAGCCTGGAGACAAGGAGGCTGAGGGGAGACCTGCTGGCTCTGCAACTGCCCGAGGGGAGGTTGGAGCCAGGGGGGTTGGGCTCTGCTCCCCAGGAACAAGCCCTGGGACAAGAGGAAATGGCCTCAGGGGAGGTTTAGATTGGATCTTGGGAACAATTTCTTCCCTGAAGGAGTGGTCAAGCGTTGGAACAGGCTGCCCAGGCCAGTGGTGGAGTCACCAGCCCTGGAGATGTTCCAAGAACGTAGAGATCTGGCACCTCAGGACGTGGTTCAGAGGGTTGTGTCGATGGTTGGATGATCCTGGAGGCCTTTCCCAACCTTCAGTGCTCCTCTTGATTCTAACCCTGTGGTTCTAGGGTGCTGCCTGTGAGGGATACCCAGGGCACGGGCACCTCCTGCCTCCTTTCCTGCCCTCAACTTTTCTTCCTCCTCCTCCACAGGGACAGCACCAAACCCAGCACCAGCTTCAAGAGGACCTCAGCCCCCAGCATCGACTACACGGAGCTGCTGCAGCACTTTGAGAAGGTCCAAAACAAGCACCTGGAAGCCCGACACCAACGAGCAGGGCGGGCAGAGCAGCTGGACAGGAGGGTGGTCCTCTGAGCAGCCCCCTGGTGGTGGCAGCCACGGGTGTGCTTGGGTTGCTGGGGCAGGGCCCAGGGGACTGGGACACCGGGTGCTGGTCACCGGAGGGACGTGGTGGGTTGAGTGGCAGAGGGGAGGAGGGTGAGGGGCTGGTTTTCCTCCCTGCTGGGTGGGTGGTGGGGGGACCTTCTGATGTGGATTTGGGGGACCTTCTACCCTGGATTTGGGGGACCTTCTACCCTGGATGTGGGGAAACTTCTGCCATGGATGTGGGGAACCTGCAGTGGATGTGAAGAACGTTCTGTCATGGATGTGGGGAACCTTCTACCCTGGATATGGGGAACCTTCTGCCATGGATGTGGGGAACCTTCTGCCATGGGTGTTGGGAACCTTCTGCCATGGATATGGGGAACCTGCAGTGGATGTGAGGAACCTTCTGCCATGGGTGTTGGGAGCCTTCTACCCTGAATGTGGAGAACCTTCTGCCATGGGTTTGGGAAACCTGCCATGGTTGTGGGGGAACCTTCTGCCATGGGTTTGGGGAACCTTTTGCTGTGGACGTGGGGAATCTTCTGCCATGGGGGTGGGGAAACTTCTTCCAGGGATGTGGGGAACCTTCTGCTGTAAATGTGGGAAACCTGCTGTGGTTGTGGGGGAACCTTCTGCCGTGGATGTGGGGAAGGGTTGGAGGAGGAGAGGGGCTGGGAGGGGGGGCAGGCACCTGCTCTTCTCTTGCAACAGGACAAGGCAACTCCCCCTTGCTTAATGCCTTCCCCGTGACTGTCAGCTGAGCTCAGCCTCCTGCCAGCCAGACCAGAGGGGACAGGAAGACAAGAGCAAGCCCTGGCCTCCCACCCTGGGCACACGAGCTCAGGGGGGGGGGTCCCTGGCCACCCCTGGGCCCCCCTGGCTCCCACCCACTCCCAGGCTGCTGGCAGCATCTCACCCAGGGACTCCCACTGGGTCCCCCACACACACACACACACAAACACCCCCCCAGCTCTTGGCATGGCTGGGGGGCAGCCTGAACTCCCAGCCAGCACCCACGGGAGGGTTGGTGGGGACCCCCATGACACCCACTCCTGGCCTGGACTCTTTTGTTCCCACCTTCCAACTCCCCATCATCCAATAAAACGCAGAGCAAACCCTTCCTTGCTCCCTGCTGGATCCAGCCCCAAAAACCTGCAGGGGAAGGGGCTGGAGCATCTTGCTCCCTGACCCCCCCCCCAGCCCTGCTGCCCAGCCAGGCCTTCTCCTCCTTCAGCTCCTCTTCCCAGCAGGAAGGGAACACCAACAAACCCCCCCAGCTCCCAAATTCCTGCAGGGCCACGGTCACCAAACCACAGGGACAGGGGTTTTCCTGGCCCTGCTTCCCCATCCCAGGGCACTCTGCTCATTCCAGGGATGCATCCTCCCCAGCACCTTGATGACCCTCAACCTGATCCCAGGGGAACAAGCAGCTGGAGGAAACTGGGCTGGTTCCTGGGGTGGTTTTGCAGCAGAGCTGGGGGCTCGGGCAGCGGGTTCCCCAACCAGCCCCCCCTGCCTGGGCCTGGGATCAACACATTCCTGGCATTCCCGGGACTTTTCCAAACCCGGGTTCATTCCAACAGCCGAATCCTTCAGGATGGGCTCCCCCCCCAGCCCCACCGACCTCCTGGCTCCCCTGTTCCTTGTCCCCAAGTCTTGCTGGGATGTTGGTGCCCATCCCAGGGCTCTGCCCGTGCTTCCTGCTGGGAATTCCTGCCCAGCCTGGAGGGATCGGGATTCTGGGCAGGAATTCCAGGAGCTGGAATCGTTCCCTCCTGGGTGGCTGGAGCCACCAGGGCAGCACAGGATCAGGGTGGCTTTGGTAGGATTGGGGGGGTTGGTGGCTCAGGATGAGCACCCCCCCTTCCCCCCCCAGATCCCAGGGGGTCCCAGGATGGCTATGGAGAAGGGGAAGGGTGGGGA